GGTGATGATGATGCTGATGCTGACGATGGTGATGCTGTTGTTGTTGATGATGATGATGATGCTGATGCTGTCGATGATGAATCTCATGACGCTGCTGCTGATGATGATGCTGATGATGCTGATGCTGATGCTGATGATGCTGATGCTGATGATGCTGACACTGATGGTGCAGATGATGATGCTGCTGATACTGCCGATGCTGATGATGCTGATGCTGATGATGCTGATGATGATTATAATTATGATAATGATGCTGATGATGCGGATGATGGTGATGATGATGTTGTCGATGCTGATGATGATGATGATGATGATGAGGATGATGATGATGATGATGATGATGATGATGATGATGGTGCTGATGCTTGTGCTGGTGCTGATGCTGATGCTGATGATGCTGATGCTGATGCTCATTATTATGATGATGACGGTGCTGCTGATAACGCAGATGCTGATGATGCTGCTGCTGCTGATGATGATGATGCCTATGCTGATGATGCCGCTTATGAGGAATTTGATGATGATGCTGCTGATGAAGATGCTGATGATGCTGATGATGCTGCTGATAATGATGATGGTCCTGATGCTGGCGTTTGTGCTGTTGCTGATGCGGATCCTGATCCTGATGACGATGCTCACTATCATGATGCTGCTGATGTTGATGCTGATGCTGGCGATGCTGCTGCTGATGATGCTGATGCTGATGATGATGTTGAGGATGCTGATGCTGGTGCTGATGCTGATGTCAATGATGATACTGATTATGATGCTGATCAGGATGCTGATGCTGATGATGCTGATGATGGTTAGGATGATGCTGATGATGCTGAAGATGATGATGATGAGGCTGTCGATGATGATAATGATGATGATGATGATGATGATGATGATGATGGTGCTGATGCTTGTGCTGGTGCTGATGCTGATGCTGATGATGCTGATGCTGATGCTCATTCTGATGATGATGATGATGCTGCTGATGACGCAGATGCTGATGATGCTGCTGCTGGTGATGATGATGCCTATGCTGATGATGCCGCTGATGAGGAATTTGCTGGTGATGCTGCTGATGATGCTGGTGATGCTGATGATGCTGCTGATGATGATGATGGTCCTGATGCTGGCGCTGGTGCTGTTGCTGATGCGGGTCCTGATCCTGATGATGATGCTCACTATGATGATGCTGATGATGCTGATGCTGATGCTGATGCTGACGGTGCTGCTGCTGATGATGCTGCTGATGATGATGATGTTGAGGATGCTGATGCTGGTGCTGATGCTGATGCCAATGTTGATACTGATTATGTTGCTGATCATGATGCTGGTGTTGCTGATGCTGATGCTGCTGCCGATGCTGATGCTGCTGCTGATGATGATACTGATGCTGATGCTGATGATGCTGATGCTGATGATGCTGATGTTGATAATGATGGTGATGGTGACGATACTGATGATGCTGCTGATGATGGTCATGATGCTGGTGCTGGTGATGATGCTGCTGCTGATGCTGATGCCGATGCTGATACTGATTATGATGCTGATCATGGTGATGATGCCGCTGGTGCTGATGCTGCTGTCGATGCTGATGATAATGCTGATGATGATGGTGATGATAATGATGTTGATGCTGATGATGTTGATGCTGATGATGCTGATGATGATTATGCTGATGGTGATGGTGATGATGCTGATGCTGATGCTGATGATGATGACGATAATTCTGCTGATGAGGATGATGATGATGGTCCTGATGCTGGTGCTTGTGCTGATGCTGATGCTGATGCTGATGACGATGCTGATTATGATGATGATGCTGATGCTGCTGATGATAATGACGATCATGCTGCTGATGCTGATGCTAATGTTGATGCTGCTGCTGCTGATGATGATGCTGGTGCTGATGCTGATGATGATGCTGATGATGCTGATGATGCTAATGTTGATACTGATGATGGTACTGATGCTGATGCTGATGGTAATGCTGATGATGATGATGATGATGATG